GAGCACTTCAGGAAAAGTGTTGCCCATGACAGGAGAGATGGGAAAAGTAAAGCGCTGAAATGAGAGTCTGACTTTTGACTTGCTTTAGTAATGAAGAAACTTGGTTATTTTCTAGTTGATTTCAGTAAGTTTTGACTTCTGTTGTAAGGCCTAGACCAGGCACTTCCCATCACCGTTGGCTCCGAATTCTTGTTACAGATCTTCCTTTGAGAAGAGTATCCATGACTTCAGTGAGGCAGAGACAAATGGACATATCTCAAAAGGCACTGACTCTGCCAACGCATGTCAGAATAAAAGGAAAAAAGCTGTGCAAATTCTATCTCCTGTGCTGTGTGCTTCATTCATCTAGGTCTAGATGTGGGTTTTCATTATGAAATCATACGTCCATGAACCACAGGTAATGCTACTAGCTGCATGTTGGCTGGGGCATGGACACAAGTGAGTTAGAAGAGAGAAACTAAGGTGTAACCTTGTAGTATGGTACTTCCTAATGAGTGATACTTGCTAATCTGCACAGTGGTACACTGCCTGAAATACCGACGAGTTCCTTTTTTGGCTGAATCAGCAAATTACAGTTGAAAGGATATAGTGAAAGTTTCTGTTCTCCATTTGTTGTTTGGTGGCACTTCCTAAACGCGCCTGACCGTGAAGCTCAGTGCTCTCTTGTGGGTGGGTGTTTGTTACTTCTGCCCCCAACTGACTTCCCCACAAATTCTAGAGCAGTTGAAGGTGATGATCAAAATACATAACATCTCTCTTTGACAGTCCTGTTGGAGAGTACATCCAAAAAGCTACCAGTTGAAGGGTTAGTACAGTTGCTTGTGCAGCATTAATTTATCCTTGTTGTGTTTATGCAAATTGAAATATTATATTACCTGGCACCATCTTTTTGTGTAGAGCCCCTGCCTCCTGCAGTCAGTGGTGCTCTGGGAAGGAATGGCCTTATTGATAGCTTTTGGTTGTAGTCATCATTTCCTCTGCTGTCTCTGCCCCCTTTGGTTTTTACTGAGTAACTTCCAAAACTGAATGTAATAGAGCTATTGAATTTCCAGCAATATTTCCATATGGTTCCTTTATAGCAAACTGAGAGAATTTAGATAAAATGTGGTGCCAGTAAGAGTAATATAAAGGAAAATTAAGTGAGCTGGCCAAGCTGAGAAAGGCAGAACTTCTGTGAAACTTCTTCAGCCTTCATAGAAGTAGATCACAGAATGTGAAACCAACTTGCTGTGTTTGCGTTTTTGTACAGCTGTTGTGTCTGCATCGGTTCCTGGGGATGGATTTGTGACTTTTCATCATCTATACACAGATTACTTCCATGATGTATGCTCATACCATTTCTCATTTTGCTCTATTTATGCAGGCCTTCCAGTACCCAGAGGCAGCCTGTGAGAGCTGGAGAGGGACTTTCTACAAGGGCGTGTAGTGATAGGACAAGAGGGAATGGATTCAAACTGAGAGTAGCTTTAGATTGGATAGTAGGGAAAAAATTCTTTACTGTGAGGGTGGTAAGGCACCCAAACAGGTTGTCCAGAGAAGTTACGAATGCCTCATTCCTGAAAGTGTTCCAGGCCAGGTTGGATGGGGCTCTGAGCAACCTGGTCTGGTGGGAAGTGGCCCTACCCAGATGGAACTAGATGGTCTTTAAGGTCCCTTCCAACCCAGGCCATTCTGAGATTCTACAATTCTGTGATTAAAACAGCAGTACATGAATTTAACAAACAGGTTGTCCAGAGAAGTTACGAATGCCTCATTCCTGAAAGTGTTCCAGGCCAGGTTGGATGGGGCTCTGAGCAACCTGGTCTGGTGGGAAGTGGCCCTACCCAGATGGAACTAGATGGTCTTTAAGGTCCCTTCCAACCCAGGCCATTCTGAGATTCTACAATTCTGTGATTAAAACAGCAGTACATGAATTTAAATCAAAGGTCATATGCAGAGTTTTTTGGGGTTTTTTTTATTATGAGTTTAACAGTCTCTTTGTGATACCTTTGGAGCATCACTCATGCCTCAACATGTAGCCATCATTCTCAGTGCTCTGTTCATGGGAGTCTGGTTCATGTGCAGGGTATCTCCCAGCCTCCAGTCCCAGAGGTGTGGGGAGAGAGGGCATAGCCAAGAGGCCGGAAGGGAGATTGCTCTTCTTGGCAGCAGCAAACTGAAGATTGGCTTGACCCATCTCGTCATGTTGCACTCTAATTTAGGTGCTCTGAATCACATCTGGAAGAGCCTACTTATGTCTGAATTACGCTGGAAGCTTAAGGAGGCTGTAAGATTATGTAAATTATTAAATAAATGATGTACCTAAAGTTACACCCAGTAAGTGCTCTCCACTGATAGTCAAATCTGTCCTGTGTTTTTTTTCATTAACTGGTACAGACATTTTATGGCAGTGATTTATGTGGTGGAATGGGGTGAGCGTTGGCTTGCCACTCGATATTCATTGTGAATTTGAATGTTAGGCTAATGCTAAAATGCCAAAAATACCCTGCTTTAATGCGAGGGGGCTTTTTTAAGAATTAATGGCTTTTCTGTTTTGCTGTTTAGTTCCAAGTTCCAAGCAAAAATATACTCCGGGAATTTATGTAAAAATCCCCTGAAATCATAATCTGGACTGTTTTGTTGGTTTGGGGTGTTTGTTTTTTTTCCAAATAGTAGCTTTAAAGCTTATATAAACATAGCTTGTCTTATAAAATGTGGCTTGAATTTAAGGGTAACAAGGAACTTGGTAAACATGTTAACTTGTTCTTTTATTCCAGATATAAACTCTACATGAAAATGTTCTTTTAATGCTTCAAAACCACTTTTTCAAGAGTTAATAACTATTTTTTGCTTTCTACATACGCATTTTAGGGGCATGTTAATCCATGGCTTCTGGTTTACCCACCTAATTTGCTTATTTCACTTAAGCTGTTGATAATAAATGCCTTGTAAATAGGATTATTTGATTTCCACATTGGATAAATAATTGCCATTTTGCTTTGATCAATATTTTTTCCAATAAGGTTTTATAATTTTACAGTTTTAAATTGTGTTTACATTTCTATGAGTGTAAATACTACATAGGTTTAATGCCACTGCCCTGTTCTGGAATGGAGATCAGCATCACATGCCATTGTCTGCATGAGGGAAAACTCAGCTGTTGTTGCTTTTGGCATTATGATTGCTTGGTGCAGGTTCTATGAATGAATGGATTTTGTGGCAGTTGGGGGAGAAAATCCTGCAAATGGTTAAGTTGTGTTGCAGAGAAACAGGTGACAGCATGTGCTCTTACCTGTGTGGCATAGACATATCAGCAAATGATGTATTGTGTATCACAGTTGTGATGACCCTGGTTAATCTCTGCTCTCATTACCATGCTGGATTGTATCTTCACAGGCACAGTTAGTTGATCTGAAGTCTGAACTGACAGAAACACAGGCAGAGAAGGCAGTGCTGGAAAAGGAAGTGCACGATCAGCTGCTGCAACTCCATGCTGTTCAGCTTCAGCTACATGCCAAGACTGGTCAGAGTGTTGATTCTGGGGCAATTAAGGCAAAACTGGTGAGTATGGTGGCTTGAATGTAGGATTATAGTATTCTGTTGCTTCTCCTGGCTGAAGTTCTTCCTTGAAAGGTGTGAATAAGCTGATAACTAAGTTAGTTAACTTATTCTTTTCTAAATAGCATTTATGATTGGCTGTTGGCAACCATTGAAAATAACATAAGTAGCAGTAGAATAAAGAGTAAGAATTTAAGAAGCTGTTTCTATGTAAAACTTTTTAGTGATTTCTTAAAGTAAAATATTTTGGTGAGTTACAAAACTTTTCTGCAGACTGACGTTGCAAAATAAGCTTCCAATATACAGATATAACCAAATTTTCATAGATCTTAAAAAAAGCCTGAAGTGAGATGTCTACTGTTTTTCTTGTAGTAACATTCTGATAAGAATAAGAACACAGAGAGAGAGAGAGAGAGAGAGAGAGAGAGAGAGAGAGAGAGAGAGAGAGAAGATGGCATGACAGTCCTCTCTCTGTGGTCATTCTTTCTCTTTGAGTGCTGCAGATGCATCCATGGTGCTGCCCATTGCTACATGCAGCAAAATGTTACAGAAGAACTCAATAAACCACTGATAATTTTTTACGATAAGTTCTGTAGAACCTCAGACCTTTACAAAGCCCTCCAGAAGTTACCAATAATTATTCTGGTAATTAGTTGACATTGACTGATCTCTAGAGTGTCGTCTGTCTTGCTGCTAGCCACAGCACAGATTCAGGCTCTAATGCTAAGACTTTGTAAATTAAAGTAGTATTGTATAGAAGTGGTTTCTAACTGTTGAAGTTTAGCTCTCTGTTTCTAAAACTGCTTCATAGTTTAGTTGCAAATACATTCTCCCAGCATGTGTGGAACATTAGATTAGTCTCTTCTGCTATTTTGTCCTGTTAATTAGTGTATAATAAAACACAGTAATAGACTATAAGGCTTGAAGGGTGTCTAGGCTCATCACTGACTAACAGGAGTAACCCAAATTCTTCCTGTTTTGGATCCAAAAGCTGTAATAGAGTTAGAGCTATCTTCCTAGGTCTACATATTTGTATATTTGGTGTTAGAATAACATCTGAACATAGTGTATTCTGTACTGAATTACAGCTATTATAGTACAATGACATTTATTTAGAGCTGTTAACCATTTTTATGGCTCTGTAAAATAAGCATTTGTTGAAGATCATCAGCATTTTATAAGTGTTAGGTTACAAGTTTACATGTAGCAAATGTTTTAAGTCAGCACATCTCTGTGAGTGATTTTGGTCCCCAAATTTAATTAGTTAGACTTAACATCTGAGTGATATAGAGACTAACACTTTTAACCTTTTTGTTTCTTCTTGCCTTGTTATAAACAATTTCTAAAGATATGTTAAATCTTTGTGCTGTTGATAACAGTCTTCTTCCCACTGTTTTTTTTTTAATTTTCCACATTTGACTTATATTGTTTCAGATTTTATCTGAATGTTGAAAGGTGTTGAAATGGAATTTTAGTGGCAGCTTAGACTGATATTCTTTCCTTAATTTCATTTAGTTTTTCCTTTTTATAAACATCAGGACTAGTCTTTTCAGTTTGCTTTACTTTGCCTTGAGGGAATTCATAGTTTTAATGGGCAGAAGCTCAACTTTAAACTCTTCTAGATAAAGAAAGCTATAAAGGTCTGCGAAGCTACAGCAAGGAAAACTGAGGCTGCTTATATGATGACAGTAAAATGGGAAGTCTGATATTTGGGTAAATAAAAACTGTTGTGCTGACCTTCTGGCAGTCAGAAAGGACTGTGTCAACAGAATATGCAATGGGGAAATAAAGTTCTGCACTGGTTCCTGCTTTCTCTGAGACAGACAGGCTTTTGTGTGTAAATGTATACTCTATGATCTGTAAAACTGTACATGGTCGTGAACTATGGCATTTTAAAATGTTTAGATTGCTAAGCAATTGACAACATCATGTAGTTTTTAGGAGTGGTGAATCTTTTTAGTCCAATCGCAGTAACTTTCTTTGTAAGAGTATGAAGTTGCCTAGTTGAATTTTTTTTTTTTTTTTTTTTTTTTGAGTTCTGTAGCTGATATACTTTTTCTGGTATTTCTTCCTGTCCTTTATGTCCCACTTGTAGCACATATTTTGTTGTTCTTTCTGAAAAGGAAAAATCTATTATCTGTATAATGATGTGATGATTTCATGTATATCACATTATCTTGCTATTCTTTATAGAGATTCTTAGTATTTTAGGAGGAAGTATTGTTTTCAATAATGCAATAAGATTAGGTTTTTAGTAAGATTTTTCAATAACTTTCAAAGCAAAATACCAAAAATGTTGCTAAATACAACTGTAGCAATGTGCTTGTTCTTTATGCCTTCTAATGAAATATAGTTTGCTGGAGAGTTTCTTTTGGAGTAAGTCAATTATGTTGCATTTTCTTGAAGTTCCTATTGCCTTTTCCTCTAATTATGGAACTCTTTTCTTCTGTCTGAAGTCTGTCCTTTCTGTGGATGAAATGGTAAGTATGCTGATTGCCCTTTTTATTATGTTTGAGCAGTGCTTTCGTTTTGTGCAATAACTTATATATATGTTGGCCTCAGAAACTGGCAAAACAGATCTGGCTTGTTCCTTCTTCCTAACAGTTGGCAAGATGCTGTGGAAAGAATTTTCTTTACATTTTGATTTTTGTTTTCTTCATGTGGTGCCCTCTCTCCTGAGTCTGTATGTGTTTTATTTATTACTGCTGCAGCTAATTTGGATGATACCTGGCAGCTTGACATTCTGAAAGATTGTTCAAGCAGGACCTCAAAAATTGTTAAGGTTTTATGCAGTTTCTAAGCTATAAACACTGTACACATCGGGGAGTGGAATATGAAGTATTCTGTGTATTATAATTTTAAAAATTCCTGTCAACTTTTCTTTTTTTCCCCCCTTTTCTCAGCTCTCTTTATGGGCATGATTTAAAGTGATTTACTGGCTTGTGTAGCAGCCCAAAGCATATAAACACAGTAATACATAGATAAGAAGAAGAAGTGAAGCAAAGTTGACTTGCATCTTTTGGTCTTTCACAGTGATAGACTTGAAAGGTTTTTAAACAGCTTTTCCACTTTTATTATGTTATATACTTCCTTATCATTATCAGTATTTGCTTTTTGAAAAGCCATGGGATAGGTGGTAACTGTAAGCTTAGATCTTCAACATTGCAGTTGCATTTTTGGTTTGGGTTTTTTTGTATTGCCAACAGGTTATACATTTTCTATTTTCAGAACCTAAGCCATACTATGAACACTAGAAAACATGAAACTATTCTGTAACTCCTTTGAGTTATTTAAACACTTTTGAGACTTGTCACATCTCTTGAGAGTCGTTCAGAACAAGGTGTGTTCTTTCAGTACATCATCAGAGACTCTGTGTTGCAAACTTTCAGGTTTTTTTATTCATGTGGTGATTAACTGGAGACAGTCCAGACAAGAATGGTGCAATTTTCCACCTCAGTCACAGAACAGTAGTCGTAGTAATGGAGAAAATAGGAAGGAAACACTTGTACAGGATTACATTGTTCCTTGTATTTTAGGTGTAACATTTAAAATGCATGACTGAAAGTGATTCTACTTAGAAATATAACATTTGGCTTTCTGTTTAGATTTAATTTAAATGACTAACCAAATTCAAAGAAAGCCAATGGAAAATGTCAGTCTGATGACAGTGTTTAAGTTGGCTACTTTGTGTAAATACAGAAAAATGTGCTACATGCAATTTGCTAGTGTAATCAAACATCTTGGATCACTTCAGAAATTCACTTTTCTGAGGGAGGTTAGAATGTGTCTGTCTTAAATTCTTGTCTTTTTATATTTGTCAAATGCAAGGTGTTCTTAAAGTGAACATGTATACAAACAGAGAGTCTATACTCCTCAGAGCACCTTAATGCAGGATTGGCAATGTGTACATAGCTGACAAGGACACTGCACCTGTATGCCAACTTTGCAGCAACTCTAGGACAAGTGTGATGTCTGAACTGTGACCCTCTTGCTTCCAAAAGGTGTTACAGAAGCAGCACAGCCTGCTGGCACTCTGGAATCCTTGTAATTACCCTTTGGCTACTGGTAGTAGCTGTGAATTAAAAAAGCCCAAGACCAAAATAATAATAGAAAGAATTGGTATAATCTTAGAAACTCCTATTCTTGAAATGTAGATAAGTCAAAATTCTTGGCCTAGGAGTGATTCTACAGTTCAGAAAGATTTGCTAAAGAGAGCTGTCTCCCAAGACAACCCCCAGCCCAGAGGCCTGAGACCAGACATGGCTTTGTGTGATGTTTTCTAAAGTGCATGTGAAGTCAAACATGGTCTGAAGGTGCAGGAAGTGAAATGCCAGTGATTTCAGGCAGTCTTTGTGCCATTCCTCCTGAGCACTGAGCTGGGCAATTCTTTGCCAATGTGTACATAGGTGTAATGTACTCTATTTGTCAAACCTGACACAAGTATTTCACAGATGAGGGAGACAGTAGAGTCCATGAAATTCGGAGCTTTCTGGCAAATAGCTCTAAATGCTTGCATATATCTATTGTGAAAATACCTCTCTTTGGAAGGACCAACCTTGCATAACTTCTCAAATGTGGTAACCATATTGATGGTTTTATATCCAGGCCTGGAATAGTGAATAGCATATTCACAATTTGATCAGAGATTTGTCTTGCCAGTTCTGTAAAATTTTGTTTCTGTCTTGTGGCTTCTTCAGTAGCATTTCCTGGGTTTATTTGTTTAACGATGTTATTGGTACAGGTACAGAGAACAGTTTTTTGGGTACTCTAAATGTCTCCAAAATGCATTGTGGTGAACTCAGTTTTTATTCCTCTTTCAGTTGACAGTGATTTTTGAAAGGAAACAGACCCTGTGTCTCTACTGTTTATTTTCCTTGTTTGTGGTGGAGGTTTTCTCCCACTTTGTAAAAGGGATACAGAGCAAGATATAAAAGATACATGTAATCAAACATGCTCTCCTTAAAGTACATTTTGTGGAATAGCAATCTAAACATAATGATTCCTTTCACTCCAGTGCTCTGGGTATTAGAAAAGGCAATGACTCTGCAGTTTCTGTACATTCAGGCTGGAGCACTGTGGGACTAATTTACATTTTTGTAGTTCCTTGTTCAGGGGGTGGGGCAGGGTGGGGGGAGTTAGCTTGCTTAAAGTGTGGTTGTAGTGTGGGTTTTGTTCTTGTTTTAACACAGCTATTTTGCACTAATTTTCTTTAAGTTTGTCAGGGCAGGCACCTTCATGTGTAGAATCTCTGGCTTTATTTTTGTGGTCTTCAGACTCTTAATTTGGAAATGTCTCTGGCTGGACATTTCTTGGTTGTTTGCATGAAAATAATTGTCATTTTAAGGACATATGGCCTTATAAAACATCTTGGCATAATAATATCATAGTAATGATCAAATAGTTAGAGTATTGTCAAATTGAAAAATTTAGTGGCTTTGTAGTTACTCTTTAAAGATAGTATTCTTCAACTTTGAATCTCCCATTTGAAGACAGGAAAAAGTAAGGATGAAATTCAGGCTGCTTAAATTTTGCCATCTCTGCAGAGGGTAATGTGCAAACCACTAGCTGTAGTGCCAGAGTCCCTGCTTTCTTTTTAATTTTTTTTCTGCATGCATGTGTTGTACACAGGAGAATAATTTCAGATCATGTATGCAGAAACAGTATGTGCTCATTATTAACTTGGATAAAATCTTTTCAACTTTTTTTCCTTTTTTGTTTTGCTGTAAAGGAGAGAGAACTTGAAGCTAATAAGAAAGAAAAAGTGAAAGAAGCTCAGTTGGAAGCTGAGGTGAAGTTGCTGAGGAAGGAGAACGAAGCCCTTCGTAGACACATAGCTGTGCTTCAGGCTGAGGTTTATGGAGCAAGATTGGCAGCCAAGTATTTAGATAAGGAACTGGCTGGAAGGTATGTGAAGTCAATCCATGTCCCTTAGCATGACATATTTTTTGTTGTTGTTTTCTTTCTTTGCATCCCCAGAGGCAGTTTCAAAGTTAAGACTAAGTAGGAAAAGTCTCACGTTTCCAGTTAATTGAACCAAAGGAAGAAACAAGAATCCTCATAGTTCTTGCACTTGCACTAGTTGCTGTGTGACTCTGTTGTAGCCACATGAATTGTGTGAGTCGTACAGTGCCTTGATTTTTCAGTTGTTTTACTCTCTCTCCTTTTGTAGGGTCCAGCAGATTCAGTTACTGGGCCGAGATATGAAAGGACCTGCTCATGACAAGCTCTGGAATCAGCTGGAAGCAGAAATCCACCTTCACCGTCACAAAACTGTTATTAGAGCTTGCCGAGGCCGGAACGATCTAAAACGACCAATGCAAGCACCACCAGGACATGTAAGTTGAAAAGATGAGCCATTCCTCCATGATTTCCAGCATTTGCACGATACCAACATGAGCTGCTTCTTCATATTTGTGATTGTTTTCACTTCAATATGTGTTCTTTCAAATGTCACTTGTAAATATGTGGTTCTTTTGTATGCCGAAGGGCAGTTTCATGTTGAATAGCATGTCCTTATAAAAGACCATGAAAGATGATACAATTCCTTTGACTTACCTAGGAGCACTGAGTTCTTTTGAAAACTGAGCCTTTGCTGTGGGTGTGTATAAATATAAATTTAACAGCAGAGTTTTGTAGCCTAGGGTTCAAAGTGTGGAGCTAACTTGTTTTATAAAAACAAGAATAACATTTTTAGGATTAGATTGAACTGAAATAAAATTTTTTTTTAAAGGCCAGATAAATTGACACTCTGTAAAATAATTGTTTGTTCATTGGGTTTTTTCCGTCCTAAAGGTACTTTTTAAAACAAAACCTTGAAACTGCATTTCACTGTGAGTGTCTTTGGTAGAACTCATCCAACTTGGCACATGTCCTGTTAATCATTTACGAAAGGAAGGTCCTGCTTGACCAACCTGATCTCCTTCTATGACAAAGTGACCCGCTTAGTAGATGAGGGAAAGGCTGTGGATGTGGTCTGTCTAGACTTCAGTAAAGCATTTGACACCATCTTCCATGGCATCCTCCTAGAAAATCTGGCTGCTCATGGTTTGGATGGGCGGACTCTTCGATGGGTAGAAAACTGTCTGGATGGCTGAGCCCAGAGAGTTGTGGTGAATGGAGCTAAATCCAGTTGACAGCTGGTCATGAGTGGTGTTCTCCAGGGCTCAGTATTGGAGCTGATCCTGTTTAACATCTTTATTGATGATCTGGACATGGGAATTGAGTGCACCCTCTGTAAATTTGCAGACAACACTAATCTGGGTGGGAGTGTCTGTCTGCCTGAGGGGAGGGAAGCTCTACAGGGTGACCTGGACCAACTTGATCAACAGGCTGAGGACAACTGGGTGAGGTTCAGTAAGGCAAAGTGCTGGTCCTGCACTTGCATCACAACAACCCCATGCAGCACTACAGGCTGGGGGAAGAGTGGCTCCAGTGTTGGTCATCAGAATGGGACTTGGGCGTGCTAGTTGACAGCAGCTCAATATGAGCCAAGTGTGGCCAAGAAGGCCAGTGGCATCTTGGCCTGTATCAAGAATAGTGTGGTCAGCAGAGCTAGGGAAGTGATCATCACCCTGTACACAATGTTAGTGAGGCCACACCTCGAGTACTGTGTTCAGTTTTGGATCTCCCACTGGAGGGTGTCCAGAGAAGGGTGGCAAGGCTCGTAAAAGGTCTGGAAAACATGTCATATGAGGAACAGCTGAGGGAACTGGATTTGTTCTAGTCTAGAGAAGAGGAGGCTCAGGGGTGACCTCGTTGCTTTCTACAGCTGCCTGAAAGGGGTTGTAGTGAGGTGGTGGATGGTGTGCCAGGCCTGCAGTGAGAGGACTAGAGGGAATAGCCCTAAGCTGAGACAGGGAAGGTTCAGATTAGATATTAGAAAAAAAAATTTCCCTGTTAGGGCGTTCAGGCACTGGAATAGGTTGCCAAGGAATGTGGTGGAGTCACCAGCCCTGGCAGTGTTTTAAGAGGTGTCTGGATCTGGTGCTGGGTGATATGGTTTAGTGGTTTAGGGCTTGCAGTGGTAGTGCTGGGTGAACTTGAGGATGCTAAAGGTCTCTTCTGTCCTCGATGATTCTGTGATTCCAATCACCTGTTTTCAGTGCATAACACCGAACATTTTCAGCCAAAGTGCTTTACCTTGATCTGTTCTATATACCTTCATTGGTCAGGTGGACCTTAATGCTTATGTTGCCAATTCCATATAAAATATTGGGGGACAAATATGTGCATATGTATGCAAGATTTTACGGTTATGCATAACGGCATCAATGACTTAATAAAAACAAAAAACAATACCTTGATTTATTAGTCCCTCTTAGTTTTGTGTTCAATGGCTTGTGGTGGGTTTTGTGCAAGCAACCTCTTCCTTGAGACTGTGTTAAATCTTCTGCCGTTTGGTTTGTTGTAAGCTGAGGTTACATCGTATCATATTTCAGCAGTGATCAGCATTTCTTCATGTAGTCCCTTTATATTATATATATATTATAAATA